TTGCCTCCGAAACGTCGTGATTTTGATTATTTTATTTTTATTAATTTTAATTTCATTTTTTTTACCTACGTGACATTACCGAAAAAACTAAGAGTATGAATCCTTGCAGTCACGAAAGCTTCAAATCTAGAATCAATTCAGAGAAGCCCACGGCAGCGCTTGATTCAGATGGAGCTGTCCGGGGCTGAGCTCTGGAAAGTAATATATTCAGCACACAACTCCTGGGCAACGTACGGGGTGAGGGGGGGGGGTTATTTGGGATAGGTTAAGCCATATTCCTTGAGCGATTTATCCCTGGAACCCACGGTCTGACCGCGTTGACCAATCTCACTCCACGCACCACACGGCTACGCCACTGCCACCTTCAATCATACGTCGGCAGCCTTTGAGATGTTCACCAGGGCTACTGCTGCTCGTCTTCCACGGGCTCACTTACCAACCTCCACATGAACATATACACAGAGCCGGCCCAGCCACTAAGCGACCCTTGCAATTGCAAAGGGCCCCGTGGCCAGCAGAGGGCCCCCTAGAGTCACTGCTGGCGAGTGGGTGAAAAAAATCATACATCAAAGGGGCCTCCAACCAAATTTTGCTTTGGGCCCCCAAATGTCTAGGGCCGGTTCTGCATATACACGTCGCTAAAGATCGTTTTTGTGCATGAACCTTAACTCGATACATATATACAGACAGACTAAGGGGCCGTCCATAAATTACGTCACGCGATTTTGGAAGATTTACGACCCCCCCCCCCCCATCGTCACACGGCGTCATAAAAAGTCAGACCCCCCCCCTCAAATATGACGTCACAAAGCTCTGCCCCCCCCCCCCCCCCACCAAAAATAAAACATGCTTCAAATCGCTTTAAACTATTGTCATTGTAATGCGTATTTAATGTGGCGCTGCATTCTGATGTTGTAGGAGAAACATTTATTAAAACATCTATTTAATGAAGTAGAACGTGTTGTCTATATTTATTAAAAGTTGCGCATTTTTATGTAACGTCACATTTCTCAAACCCCCTCCCCTCGTCACACATCGTCACACATGTCTGACCCCCCCCCCCCCCAGGTGCGTGACGTCATTTATGGACGGCCCCTAAGACCATATCACCGGAATGGGGCACGCCTAACTCGCCGAAGTTAGGAAGCAAAGCACCGTGTAGCCTGGTCAGTGACATGGACCGGTTACCCACCCACCCCAGTAGCGTAACGAGCCTGGTGGCCAAAGCTACTAGTTTGAGCCCCCTTGACAGCCAATTTAAAATAACAATTTTTTTAAATTAAAAACGCGGTAAAAAATTCATTCACGAAAATGCTTAATCACGTGATTAACGCAAGACACGTCCGCGATATACAATAGCCGAGGTGCCACCATGCCAGTCAAATCAACAATTTGGGGACCACACCTGACCAATTGCCGCACCCGCCCTGAGCTGATGGTGGAGTTACCACCACCACGACCACCACCACGTTCACCAGGCAGGTGCTGTAGACAATGCGACTTGGAGCTATGCCAGGAGCTGGCCGTGCTGAGTATGTGTTGGCTTTTCTCTGGGCCCTCTCGATTCATACTCTTCGGTTTTTTCGGTAAAGTCGTTTCCTTCCGCGAGAAGCCAAACTCTTGATTCATTGAAAAATGCTCCAAGCATGCCAAATTTGAGACCCTCTTGAAAAGGCAGTCCTGGAGAATAATCGAGGCTATTCCTGGGTAAATTATAATCGGCACAGTGTTATCGACATTATTATCGATACATGCTGGTGGGGCACGCGTGCGATACAGCGCTTTGGAGGCCAGGGTAGGTGGAGCACACGGAGATTTGTGAAACTCGCAAGCAATCGCAGCGTGAGATGGCTAGGGGGTGACAAAGAAACAAAGTGGGTTCCCGAAAACAATGCGCGTGGACCTTTGGAATGTTAACCTCTTGTAAGCGTGGATATTTTTTTCTTTCATAATTTGGTGATTCAGTTTGTTGGGATACCGTACGCTGAAGTGGTCGTTCACGGTACCCCACGCGTGACTTATCTGCACACATTGACAACGCGCACGCGTATCTAAGACACAAAGGGGAGCGTGACTTGGTGTCAATTCTAACGCTCTTCTGGAATGTGGCACCAATGTAGATTATTATTTATTAAAATCGGGCAAAGCAAAGCCGCCCGTTTACCGGATACAAAGTCTGCTGCAGCAGGCCGCGGTGTCAACAACATCTCTCAACGACAACAACAACAGCGTGTCACTTTTATCAACTCCACAACAACGAAAACAACAACAACAGCGTGTCACTTTTATCGACACAACAACAACGACAACAACAGCGTGTCACTTTTATTGACTCAACAACAACGACAACAACAACAACAGCGTGTCACTTTTATTGACTCAACAACAACGACAACAACAGCGTGTCACTTTTATTGACACAACAACAACGACAACAACAGCGTGTCACTTTCATCGACTCAACAACAACAACAACAGCAGCGTGTCACTTTTATCGCAGGAAATTCGGACCGCAGCTGTTTCCCGAGCCTCCGAATGTCCGCACGCTTTTGGGAGGAAATTAACTCTGGGCGTGACGCACTCTCAGCGCCTAATTTAGTTTTTGGAAGGCGTCGTGATTATTTATTAATCGTTTTAACGAGGCGTGTGTGCTTGTAAAATCTTTTTTTTGCGTGTGTACGGCGCTTACAACGTGGATCGAGACGGCAGTTCTTTTTATATTTTTCGCGGAAGACAAATAAAATAGCGTAATTTAAATCCCGCGATGCTATTTTTATGCAGCGGATGCGACCCGCCAAGTCTGGCAGCTGTCAGTGGTCGAGACGAGATCTTAAAACGGCCACCAGAAAAAAAATGTGTTTTTTTCTGTTGCATATTTTTAAACAGGCGGTGCAAGTGTGCGCAAAGTCTCAAATAAAAAGTCTCAGCGATGACCTGGCTCGAATGAGCACTTGGTTGCGTCTCTCCCCAGTTCACGGTCCTGAGGCCGAAGTGGAAATTCCTCATTCCTCTGGTAGGGGCGATTCTCGAAATAAAGCAATTATTGTTGACTTACACACAAATACAGAAATAACATGGCACTCATGTCATCGATCCCGGAGTGACAGTGGGTTAGATTAACCCCGACACCAGGATCTGAACGTGCAACCTTCTAGATTGCAAGCTGCTCACTCTACCGCTGAGCCAGAGGTTATACTGGGTGCTTCAAAAAAATATTAACACGTACATGGGACTATCGTTTTTAATGGGAAAAGAAACAGATAATACACTTTAACATGATAACAAATGAATGTTGATAGCTTCAAAAAATCAAAGAGTCTCCACTCGTTCGCCATCGTTGTCAACGCGTGCCTGGAATCTTCTCCAGGTGGTTTCCAGAGCTCGGAGGCACATCTCTCGTGGTATTGTTGCAAAATTCTCAGAAGTGTTAACATTGTTTTGAAGCCACCCTGTACAAACTGTCTAAACTATCCAAGCACCTTGAAGAAACGTCCAAGTATAAGTGCCTTTGGTGTAGCGGTTAGCGCGCTACGCTACGAACCCGGCGACCCGAGTTCGATTTCTACTCACGACCACCACCGGTTGCGATTATTTGAACCCGTCCTGGGCCCTCCCCTAGGTCGACTCAACCTCAAATGAATACCTGGTGTGGTGTGTAGTAAACATCGCCACTTGCCGTGCCGGCCGTCATAGGTGGTTCGCGAACAGCACTTGCGCCAAAAAGTCTGTTAAGGCTCTAGGGGGTGTCTTTGTATTTGCCTTAAAGCGACGCAAATAACAACACACGAGAAAACAGGTACGGGTGTCTCTTGAGCACTGTCTGATAAGTGTCCTCGCGGATTAATGCAGCGTGATTATTGTAACACAGCAGTGTCCTTTATTGGTCCAGGAAAATCTTCACTGAAGTCTTTAGATTTTTTTAGATGGTGTTGTTTGGTCGATTTTAATCGTGTGCTTATCACGTGGGAGGAAGTCGGTCTACCTGTTGAATGCCAGGGGAATAACAAGCAAAGCTCCACACAGGATGGATTCAGGAATCTTTTGCTGTACCGCCATCTCACAGAAGTACAGCGAGCCAAGCCAACAACGCCTGCTGTTCACAGAGAGCCTCCTGGTCCAAGTACTAACCAGAGTCAAACCCAGCTTAGCTTAATTCTAGATTTGAAGCTTTCGTGACTGATAGGATTCATATTCTTGGGTTTTTTCGGTAAAGTTACGTAGGTAAAAAATTAAAATTAATAAAAAAAAAATCACGACGTTTCGGAGGCAACACAAGCCTCCGTCTTCAGGTGGAATCGTCACAGCACGATAGCTTAGCTTCTCAGATTCAGTGATATCGGGCGCATTCGGGGCAAAATGCAGCCTATGCAAAATATCTGTGTCCATCTACCGCAGCAGCAGCAGTCAAAGCCGCGGCAGTTAACATCGCAACGCAAATGAGTCGTTCACAAAGAGCTCATGATTGGGTTTAAGAGTTGTTGCTCCCTTGACCTGATATTAGTGTTGTTGTTGTTGTTGATGCGGGTTGACAAAGCAGGGGAGTGCAAGGGGTTTTAAAACGGCGTTAACGCGCGATTGTGAAGAAGACCGTCTTTAATTCCCACACCTCCACCACTTGCACCCCTCCACCTCTTCCATCCCCCACCCCCCTCCCACATCGTCCACCCCGCCCCCACCTCTTTCATCCCCACCCCTTCCACCCCCACCTCTTCCACCAACCCTGCCCACCCCTTCCACCCACCCCCCACCTCTTTCACCCCTTCTCCCCCCACCCCTTACACCCCACCACCCCTTTCACCTCGCCACCGCCTTCGCCAGGAGTCACGCCGGCTCCTTTCCCGGTGGCAGGCGACGTCCGTGGGCGCGCTACATCATCAACATCATCACATCATCAACATCATCAACATCATCAACATCTTCAACATCTTCAACATCATCAACATCATCAACATCATCAACATCATCAACATCTTCAACGGCACACACAACAACAAAACGCGACCGGTGGTAGTGACGTTTATTGCAAGCACGACACTTCGCATTTCACAGTAACAACAAGTTAATACCTGAGATTAAAATCACATCTCAAGTCAAATATAGGTATCAACTGCAAAAAAAAAACCTTGTTCTAAAGTGGTATTCTCTGGCTACACTAGCCAAGTAGATACCATTTTTGTCACCAACCCTTTATCACTCTGTTGCCTACTCTGTCTCACCGTCACAGTGCTAAATCCTGAAGAACCGCGCACAAATGTCCCTTGTGCCTATATCGCTAAATGCTATGTATTCTGCTGAGGTGGCCGTACAAACATGCTCTTTGGAAGCGCACGTTGAGAGGGCAATACCAAAAACCCACCGTGGAATTTCAGGCGTAGCACGACAAGCGGCAACAACAACCCCAGAGGTCTCGAGGTTACGATTCTGGTCAAAGCACTTGAAGGCACGGGCAATGTCACTGGTCCACCCTTGTAGCTTGTCCACCCCAGCATACTAATAAGGCAACAAGCGATATACCAGGGTGCTTCAAGAAAAAAAAAAACTGTAAAACACTTCTGAGAATTTGCAACAACATCACAACAAATGTATATTCGGGCTCTGGAGACCACCTGGAGAAGATTCCAGGCATGTGGTGACAATGATGGCGAACAAGTAACTTTTTTAAGCTATCCACATTTGCTATCATGTTACAGTGTATTATCCGGGGTTTTTTTCATTAAAAACGATAGTCCCATGTGAGTGTTAACATTTTTTGAAGCACCCTTCGTTAATGCAAGTCCGATGGCGCATCGCTTGCGGTAGGGGGTGAAGTGTGGACAACATCTCCACTATACCTGCGTACTCTACCACCCTGTATGGCCTAAACCGAGAGGTCAGGTAGTCAGGTCCCGTCATACTGCTCGCTCCCATAAACGCGTCACAGCAAAGGGGGGTTGCCAAGCCTCAGGCATCTTTATTCAATTCACAATTGTAGTGAGATGTGAGTGTGGCAGGGATAAACAGCTCTAGTCTAGCTTCACGCACGCCCTATTATACTCCATACCGGTTGCGGATTGTTGCGTGTTTTAATTTTGTTACGATACTTCACCACGCTGGTCAATTCGGGACGGTAAAGAGGGACGGTAAAGAGGACCACTTCGAATCACAGTTTCACTCTGCAACTCATGTTGGCCTTGGCCGGGAAATCCAACTCAGGCGGTACGAGGTTTGGAGCTCAGTGCGACAACGACTGCACCGCCGCTTATCCCGCACAGACATGGAGAAGTCGCTCTAAATCTGCACAGATGGGGTCTGCGACCCGCTTGCTGTACCGCCTCCTACAGGAGCCTCATCGCCCTCTATCTGGTTGTCCAACTCCACGTGGTCCACCGGGCCCTAATCTGCACATTGCTACTCAATGTTTTGATTTCTTTTCTGTAACTTTCTTTTGTTTTTCTTTCTTTTTTAACAAAGATCCTCCGTGGATCATTCTTCTAACGCAGCTCACGGCTGAGCATTTCTTACCCACGTCGACAAAATAAGAGCAATCAAAATCAATCAATACAACAACGGTTGTGCAACCACACCAAGACATTGGCTGTGCATATCCTCACGGGGTATTGCTGTTGGTGAATTGTGTCGCTGGCATGAAATTCGGCGGTGAATTCCCCCCCTCCTTGGCTACAATCTGTGCACCACTGACCCTTTAACAGCTCAGAAAGCATTGCACAATCTAATACATTACATGATGATTTTTATACATTCTCTCCAAGTGCTGTTATTGGGCTCATCAAAGTGCATTTTATTTAGAACTACGACAAAGGGGGGAAAAAAACCGCATCTCAACTTTATCAAAACAAACAAAAAATGAACACGTGCATATGTAAAAAAAAATCATAAATACCAAAACTGTCAAGTATAAAATGTAATTTATGTCAATGTCCCACTTTCAAGTTAATTTGAAACCACCCACAATTTAGTTGCCAAAGAGGTTGATATAGCCACTTAGAATTGCCCTGAAAAAAAATGGAAATCGTATTCTTCCACACTTACTATAATAATAAATATACATTTTGTATCAGCAGCATTCTCAACCGCCAGTCGTCTTCATTTGCCTTGTCTTGTACAGAAGAGCTCCATACCCCCCCCCCCCCCCCCATTTAGCCGACATCACTTGTGAACCCCTGCAAACACGAACACAGCAAAAGACAAAGATGCACGAGACAGGTTAAATGCGTACAGTATTTCCCCGCATATAGCCCGCATACGCATATAACCCACAGACGCATATACCCCGCAAAAGTAGCGTTTTGTGTAAAACAAATTTCAGATAGCCCGCACCTCCATATACCCGCATGCATTCATATCTTTAACGTCGTTACCGCAGCTTAATTCCATCAAATTAATACGAAGTTTACATTTGTAATACATTCCACTATCAATTGAAACGAGTGAACTTAATACAGCAAATAAGTAACAAAAGTAAATATCCAATAAATAAGTAGCACGTAACTGGTAGATAAGTAAGTAGTTTTAGCACTGGTAGATTGCACACTATGCAGATAATTGCGGCACTACGGTAACTCCGTGCCTCGCCCCTCCACCTCCCCCCAGCTGCCCCACCCCCCAACCCCCCACCTCTCCCTCCCCCCATCTCTCAAGTCGCCGGTAAACAAAGTGCGCCCACTTCAAACATTGTCGTTTCATTGTACAAACAATTCGAATAATTAAAAACGTGATAACACATGCAATTTTAGTGTGAGTGGTTTATTCAGCAGTGCTTTAGTCAAAGAAAAGTGTTGCATAGTGGATAGTCCTACCATGAAAACATTAAACGAGTTATGACATGTCACACGTGTAAAATATTTGTGGGATAGCCCGCATCTCCATATATCCCGCAGGGTCTTGTTTTGTTTGTAAAAAGTGGTATACCCCGCGGGTTATATGCGGGAAAATACGGTAATTTAAACCGTTCCGGGAAAAGTAAGTGGGGCTTGGGCCAGGACGCACAGCTCAGAGGGACTTTAGCCGATGACAATCATTAGCCATGATGAGCCATGACGGAGTGGCAGCTGAGGAATGGAAGTTGTCACAAAGAGAATCCATCGAAGAGACGGAGGCACGAAATCGACTCTCGCGCTACGGTGGATTGAATTCGGGACTTTGCTGCAAAGATCACAGGGGTGTGCAATCGTTGAAAATTCGTCAATTTTAGTTTTGTTGTCTAAATCCATTCGGGGAGTCTTGGTCGAGTTTTATCAACGACAGATTCGAGGTGACCCCCACGGGAAGGAGAGAAAAAAAATATTCATAATGATGATAGATAAAAATATGAGCTTAAAGAATAAACAATAAAAATATGTTAATGCCACTGTTAAACTAAATGTGTCCTGTGCTTTTTGGCCACTCTGTGGTAAAGTCATATTTTTTTCCCGATGGTGACCTTCAAACGAATCAGATAAATATAGCCGTGACGTGTGGGCGATGAGAATGACGAGCTGGCTCCAGATTTTCCCGCTGACTTTAATGAGCCGAAGGAGACGACGCAGTTTCGTCTTGATTGAATCTAATTCGGGACGCATTTGGATGGGTTTTGTGCGCGTTTGTTGCGTGTGCTTGTTACAGTTACCTAATCAACTGACACTTACAAACGAGTGACATTTGGACGGAAAACGCACGCGGAAAGTTTGACCCTTTTTAAATTTCGCAGCAACTCTACAACGCGTGGACTCTGCTCAACGCCCGTGGAGTGGGACTCACCGTCTGCATCCGAGCTGTCCGAGTTACCTTCCTCAGACTCTGCAACCTCCTCCCCCTCCTCATCCTCCTCTTCGTCCTCATCCTCTGCATCTGTCAAGGCATACCGTGAATGCGACACCTCGCTTCGTACCGGGGCTTTCGGACAATCGATACAAGTGCAGCGCTTCGAAACCACTCGTTTGAAATGCGCGTTATGATTGCCGTTACATTTCATTCCACGAAATAATCGACAGTTTTGGGGACAATTCTGCAACTGCTGTGACTGTGAGCGAATCTGCGTCACAACATCACACACCACACACCCGCCCCCACCCTCCTCACCCAGCACAGCGAAGTGGCTGATCATGTACAAATGTATGGCATCAAAGTAATCTAAATACTCTTCAACGCACGTTGATTCTAAATGTGGACGGCAAAAACCGGAGGGCACGGAGAAAAAAACATCCACGCGATCACGGGAAGAGAGAGAGAGAGAGAGATACGCAAAATCCTAATAATACATATTGACTTAAAGCTTTCGTGACTGCAGGCATTCAAATTTTTGGGTCTTTCGTTAAAGTCACATAGAAAGATTAAAAAAAAACAACACCTGAAGACGACCGCTTGTGTTGCGATTAAAACGTTGTAGTTTTTTGTAAAAAAAAATGTACCTATATACGTGACTTTACCGAAAGACCCAAGAATATCCAAATATACAGCAGGCGTCAGGCTCAGGATCGAACCCCTGAACCTCCCGTAGACCAGGCGAGGTAGTTAACATCTCATACTCTTAGTTCTTTTAGTAAAGTCACGTAGGTAAAAAAAAATGAAATTATAATTAATAAAAATAAAACAATAAAAATCACGACGTTTCGGAGACAACACAAGCTTCCGTCTTCAGGTGAAACTGTCACAGCAAAAAATCTGTATCAAGTATCAATATTCTGATATTATTTTTTCTGTGACAATTTCACCTGAAGATAGAAGCTTGTGTTGCCTCCGAAACGTCGTGATTTTATTATTATTTTTTTATTAATTTTAATTAAATGTTTTACCTACGTGACTTTACCGAAATAACTAAGAGTATGAATCCTTGCAGTCACGAAAGCTTCAAATCTAGTAGTTAACATCTCCTTAGCCACCGTGGCACCCCACCGTCCGCCACCCAGCTGGGAGTTCTCACCTTTGCCGAAGTCAATGCCCCTCACAGCCTCCTGGACGTTGTCCAAATCGACGAGGAAGTGGTTCATGTTCTCGTAGCCCATCTCCATCTTCGGCATTTCGGACCCCTTCGTAGCATCGACGACGCTGCAAAGGAAGTGCGCTGGTACGGTTTGCTGACATTTCACCCGGCGAAGTCTGGTCTGCGTCCGTCTATAGCTCTATTGCGGGACTCTGCTGACGAGGAGCAGCAGTTCGAGGGCGAGGTGGTCCAGAGTTAGTTTGGTTGTGGGAACAAATGCTGCTGGACAACGTTGGGCTGGAGGCTCAAAGGCCTTGATTGGAGTACACAAACTATATATGTATACAGTTATTTTATGAGACGGACTGAAGTGTGTTCCCAAAGTGAAGAGGGGATAACCTTGCCAAGCATATTTGGCAATCCGTCTGCAATCATTTAGCAAGCCCGACTCTGCTAAGGAGATCAGGAAGTTTACTTTCTTGAACCAATTCTGATATATATCATTGGTCTGAAAGTCCCAAAGGCTAATGGATCAAAACATTGTTATTCTCATGTGGCGATACAGACGGAAGAGTGTTCATTTGATTACCTACTTAAAAATCTATCTCGACGTGTGCCTGAATTACAAATCTCAGTAACAATATTAGGGATAGATAGAGTTGAAAGGAGACTTGAATATGGAACGGACAACTCACCTCTTCTGAAGAGCGCTTGCACTCTGTAAATAATGATAAAAAAACACAACGTTAAATTCGTGACAAGGATAGTTTTGTATTAATAACAAAATCTATCACCATCAGCGCTCAGATATATTGTCAAGTCCGTCTGCACCATAACAATCTGACAAGCAACCGATGAAAGAGACGCATCACTGTATCTAAATAACAATAAGCTACTGCTGGATGAAGGCCTCCCTACACCATGTCACTCATAGAGGCCATTTGACCATACTACACCATGCCGGTCATTGTGGGTTAGGTTACGGGACTGGTTCAAATATCACCTGCCACCGATTCAAACTCAGGTCACCAGGTTCACAGCGCAGATCACTAACCACTGCGCCAACTACTCCTACTCGCCGTGTCTAAAGTGCCCTCCTGTGTTCCGTATCCACTTACCCTAACGACATAAACATAAAAGAACTGTCTGGAGATGACGCTTGAAATTACGTACGCAAGCGTTTTACATTTTTCATCAGTCAGTATTTTTTGCCGATGGGCCTCAACTCAGAGTGACAAACTGAAAATGTGAAGAGGCCTGTAATTTTCTCCCTTTTCCCTGCACGCGTCTTCATTTAAACGAGCTAAGCCACATGTCCTGCAAATGCATATTGCAGGCCTCTGTCAATCCACTCGTGGATTATGATGATGATGACACCACCGAAGCTTTTTCGCCAACCGTGGCTGTCGTTTGCCCACACGAGTACGACGTGGCCAAGACAGAGGTCCCGGACATCGTTCGCAAACAAAGTAACGGAACGAGCGACGCATCTAAAATTCAACGAAGTTCCTATAATCGCTCAGACATCGCCCGTCACCAATGTCAGCCTCGGCCAAGACTCGAACTCGGCTCGCCGCTCACCATACCGCCGCCTCGCCCCCCCCCCCCCCCCCAACCAACAGATTCTGACGAGCGCGGAAAGACGAACTTTGCTGACCTGGAGGAACGCCGCAGCCTCGGGCTCCTCCATGGCCTGGAAGGCTGTCTCCACCAGCTTGGAGGCGGACTGCAAGTGCTCGTTGTACTGCTTGATGAGGTCCCGCACGTGCTGGTTCTTGTCCTCCTGCTCCTGCGAGATGACCATCAGCATCTCCTGTTTCCTCTCCTCCAGCGCCGCGTATACGCCGTCGAACTGCTCGCACAGCATCTGCTTCTGCACCCGGCTGTTCTCCTGGAGTGGCGCCCACCCCGTGGACAGAGCAGGGCACAAGCGACAAAATCGGTGTTAATTTTCGGTGGGAACGTCAGCGGTTCTGCGCGGTGTTTTTTGGGGTTTTTAAAATCCTTTATATTGAGTTCGCTTGCACGCTTGCTTGCTTGCTTGCGCGCTTACGACCGTGCAAATCTTTCGGTCGTTTTTTAACCCACTTCCCGTGATCCAATCGAGCTGACATTTTCCACACAGACTCGTTGTGCGTGACAATTATTTTTCGTGAATTTTTTTCCCAAAATTTTACACTTTTTAGGAACAAAAAATTATATGTAATTACCAATTGCTTAATGGTGGCAACCAATCATCTGACCCATAGGTGGCAGCCATCTCAAGCCAGAGGACAAGAGGACTCTAGCCGCCACGCATATAAAGGATTTATAGTGAAAAACTTTTTTTTACGGGTTTATTTTTTTGCTCCACTCGCTTACTCGCTCTCTCAGTCTCTCGGTCTTATTGGCGTCAACTTGTGGAATTTGAGCCAGGTCGTTGCGTGTGTGTGTGTGGATTCCCTTTAGTCAGCTTTAAAAAAATATTATTTGAAAGACCAGACAAAGTCCACAAGATAAGACTTGAGGGAATATATCCACGGCTATCCGTCGACGAGACTCGTGGTAGGACTGCGAAATGAAAATGCCGAGTCGGGGTCTGCCTGCCCAGTGGCAGCGCGGTGTGCTTCGAACCGGTCCCTCCGGTGTTGTGTAATTAATTAATTGGGGGCCCCCTGCCCGGCACGTGGGCTCGTCGTAACCGCGGCCTCCGGTGCAGTTGCACCGCCTGCACACTCGACACCTAACGCCGCTGTGGCCACCATCGCGAGTGGTGGCTCATCAGCGGTACGAGTTGTCTGTTTACAGTAACGTTCATAGGTTGACCTCTTACGACCTCAAACGAAGCAGTCCTCATTTGATCAACCCTGGCCGGGTTAATGGGCTGATTAACACGTAGGCTTTCGCGACCAATATCATCCATAATACAGGTTTTTGTTAGTTAGATTTTGTAAATCATTATTTACGAGATCTAATTTAAAAAACCCTGTGTTATAATGGACTGATACTCTTGGGTTTTTTTTTCCGGTAAAGTCACGTAGGTAAAAAATAAAATTAAAGTTAATAAAAGTAATATTACTACTTTCATAAAAAATAAAATTAAAAGTTAATAAACGTAATATTATTACTTTTATATAAAAAAAATATTTTTTACCTACGTGACTTTACCGAAAAAAAAAACCTAAGAGTATGAATCCTTGCAGTCACAAAAGCTTCAAATCTAGAAATAATTGACTGAGTTGATATAAAAAAAACGTTTAAACCCCACTACAAATCCACTGCGGGATCTTTGCCCCGGCTGCGTGAAGCCAGCGTTCTTTAGCCGGGTCAGCCACACTGCAGCACAACGGAGACTCGGTGAACGCAGAGAGTCTTCGGGGATCATCGCCACTGGGGGTGATGTCGTTCTCATTGTCACTGAAGCGACGGCAACTCCGCAACGTCCGACGTGGCACGGGCGGGCAAAGTGCCCCAGCCGAGAGCGTCACGGCCCGGATTTCAACAACGCTGCGATGAAGCAGCACGTGCGTGTGCGTGCACGCGCGTGCGTGCGTGTGTGTGCGCGTGCGTGTGTGTGCGCGTGTGCGTGTGCCCGTGCGTGTGTGTGCACGTGTGTGTGCGTACGTGCGCGCGAGCGTGCGTGCGCGCGTGCGTGTGTGCACGTGCGTGTGTGCGTGTGACAACGGGGCGGGGGAGTGTCACACTTACATCGATGACTTTGCAGCTGTGCTCCATCTCGCTGATCATCAGCTGCACCCTGTCATTGCTCGCCACCAGTCTGGAGATGGAGTCGCTGAGGTCGTTCTGGCAACAGCACAACAACAAAGAAAGCCGTCGAAGGACACGGGGAGAGAGGGGGGGGTGAACTTGGGCACTGTCTGTCCTCCCATCGCGCCGCGTAATTTTCACGACGCGAATTGGATGCAACGCGGTGAATTGCATTCGGGGGAACGCATTTTTTTTTCGCGAACGCGGTTGCGAATTGGATGCAACGCGATCGAGTGAACGGAACTACATCGCAGCGTGAGTTGGAATAAGCGGGTTGTAGCGGCTTCCACTGTGCATCATGGCGCAAGGCGTCGGGATGCTGCTGGATGCTTCTAGATGCTACCCACGCGCCTCGGTCTTTGTTCAGCCCGCGTACGCATCTCACCGTGTTATCGCGGGCTGCGCATTACCCTATGATATTGTATTTATTATAACACGATTCTTCCATAAAGCGGTGTTCTTCAAGGACGCGACTACCGCGTTACAGAAGAACAGACTACCGTGCAAACGTACGTGCACTCTCTTACATGGGGGGGGGGGGGGGGTGGGGATACAAAGGTCCAGCCATGCAATAGCTTACCCTCGGCATTGCTGGTGGAAGTGCATCCACCAGTTGGTGGCTCGAGAGGTCATTTTATCTACTCTTTCACAGCTCACCAGACACTCAAGCAAGAGGTGGGTGCACCCACACCTCACCCCACCACGCGTCATCTGCCCTGACAAGGCTGCCTGGAATTCAGCGCTATTTTGATGAACATCGCCGATGGGGAGACAAGGGTGTGAAACGGAACTGGCCCGAACCCAGCCCTCATCGAGTGCCATGTCAGCTTTCACCAGAATCAGAATCTTCATTTATCCTGGAGGAATCCAAAGAGCTATAAAGCTCTTTTTCATAGACGCCCAGTAACTGGTACCCTCAACAGCATGTCTTTCATCAGTTTAGAAAGCAGGTAAGCCGGGTGGGTTTCTTGAGCGCAACATTTAGCAGGAGTGATACTAAAAAATAAACATCTTACCATTGTGTGGTTTGGCTGAACCTTTGTATTAGCTCTACTGAAGTGAAGATGGGGGGGGGGGGTGTCAGTAGTGACTGGGTGGTGGTGGTGATGGTGGTGGTGGTCACCTTGTGGCTTTTATAAACGCTCCCCAGGGGGGCCACTTGGCAGTCCTTGTGAGCTCCGAACACCTTGCACAGAGAGCACGTGGGCACGCTGCAGGTGATGCAGAAGATGTTGATCTTCTCTTCCGCGTGCTCCACACACATCGGGTGGTCCACCTTTTTCACCGGCCTGTGGTTTTCAACGGCACGCGAAAGAAAAAGACCCGAATTCACCCGGGTTAGCCTTCGTTGAAAGCTTGTTTGCTGGCGAGCACTGATAGATAGATACATAGATACGTGACTACATACAGGGTGGTTCAAAAGTCAGGACACGTAGGGTTATTTCATTTATTTTGACGCTGCGCGAAACAAAATAATTGCTTATTCTTTAAGTAAAATTTGTTTTTATTATCATTATTATTATCTATTTTTCTTCTTCATTTTCGGGTGAAATTTGTTTTTTAAGCGCAAAGAACACGGAATAAAAAAAACGAGCGCGTTTATGTACGATGAAGAAGGCAGCTTCACATGTTTTAAAAAAAAGTTCTTAAATTAGTTTCAAAATATAATTCGTGAGTGTATTAATGTTAATTGAAGCCGGTGTTGAATATTTGTCAAAATTAATTCAACAGTAACACAAAATTTACGTATTAAAAATATATATATAATAACCCTATGTGTTTAGATTTAAAGCTTTCGTGACTGCAGGGATTCATATTCTTGATTCTTTCGTAAAGTCACGTAGAAGGGAAATAATTTGGGCCACCCTGTATAATGTCAGCGCGGTTACTGTGTGCAGGGACAAAGGCACAAATGCCCCCAAATTCCAAGTGTCCGGCGACAATCAGCACTCCTGGAAATGCAATAGACAGATAGAGAGTTCACACTCGACTGGTATTGGGCAGGGTTTACAAACAACTTTGGGAAATCCCATAACTCAAATCAAGATGTATTCTTGTAAGTCGGAGTAGCTGTGTTGTCACGTAACAGCCAGCACCGGTGCAATTTGCTGCGACAGTATTTTTGCAGGATGTTTCTGATTATAGCTGCCTGTAATTGAAAGGGCAATTAAAATATAACATTAAATGTAACAGATGAACGGGATACATTTGCATCCATGCTCCTATGGTCGGAGTAGTAACGGCACTGGGCATAGGGAAACCAAGCACACGTTTCGGACCCCACGTATTTCAAGGGGCCTAAGATGAATGGACAAAATTGGAGTGAACCAAACATCGGTTCGAATTCAAACCCCTAATGAGCGTGCATGTTTGAACACACGCTTCGTTCGTTTTCCCCATCCATATCCTACTCGTATCCCTCTCGTCTCACTACCTATCTACCTCTGGTCTGCATCTGAAAAGGTGTGTGTGGTGGGCGGTGCATCGACCAGTCATCTCAGTCAATCAAACCCAAGCCACCTTTTGTCTGACCCGTCACCTCCTGCCATCGGGCGTTCGACACTTTCAGGTGGCCTTAAAGTGCACATAGCCTGGCGGTTGTTGTTGTGGTGGCTGGGTGGAAACACACGATGTGCATGGTTAGGGTCCCCCCCCAGCACCGAGTGAGTTCAAGGCTGATCCACGTTTGCCAGTGTGTGACGCCGCGCCCCCCGTGGTCACTCGCCTGGTGGACTCTGTCTTGTAGATGTCGATGATGTTTTCTACCAGTAGGTTGCGCTGCAGGCCGTACACGCCGTGCCGGTCCAGCACCACCTCGTGGCGACACGAGGGACAGCGAAAACGACCTCCGGACGTCACCGTGTTACCCCGTGTCACCATGAACGGGTTGGCGGCCTGCGGGCGAGCGGAACGAGCAGGTGAGCACTCGGGAGTGGGTTGGCTTGAGTGTAAGTGGGTGAGCGAATTTATTGAGCCGGGTGAGTGAGCGGGTGAGTGCGTGGGTGGGCGAGTGAGTGAACGAGTGGGAGAGTGAATGAGTTTGTGAGTAGGTGGATGAGTGAGCGTGTGAGTGGGTGAGGGGGTCGGTGGATGAGTGAATTGACGAGTGAGTTGGCGAATTGGTGTGTGGGTGGGTGGGTGAGTGAATGAGTGGGTGACTGAGTGAGCGAATGAGTGGGTCAACGAGTCAATGAGTGGGTGAGCGGACAGATGAACGAGTGAAAATGATGAGTGATTGAGATCAAGTTAGTGTTCTTTAACCAGGTGAGAACTCCTGTTTGCAAGAGTAATAAAATACAGCAAAGAATAAAGTATAAAATCAGCCCAAAAACAACGATGTCGTATGAGACATCAGAAATATTGCCCGAACATAAATCAATGTTCGTAATACATTCCCTGTCGGCTCGGGTAGATTGAATTTATATTGATCGTGTTACAATTGCATGAATTAGTTGCCAAGGAGAACACATTGTTGACTCAACCCGAGAGTGTGACCTTGTTTTAAACAGGGGTTATATATAAACTCATGCGGAGGACCACAACGTTAAACACACTTCAAGTAAATATTAAACGCTGAACAGAATGACTAAATACGTGATCTGTTTATCGTATGGGTTTGCGTGCGTTTTTTTTATTTTTTGTTGCATTGCATGGAGTCCCAAATTTCACACGGAGTGCTCTTGCCAATAACATTTGGTCTTGGGTTTGCTCCCTTAACTTAAATATTGGTCTGCAAAGCCAATGTAGACAGATGGACCGTAACTGATTACATCATTAGTTTGATCTGTGTTGATGCTGTATGTATCCTTGCCTACCAAACATTCTGCCCCACCTCTGACCGCCTCCACACCCCCTATGTATATGAGAAATGGCTGCGAATTTCAGATATTTAATTGTCACTGCTATTAAATATTGTACCAAATTTTTTTTACAAGGCTCTACACATTTAGAAGGAGAGTGGCCTAAACTTCAAGGGACGACGTGGAGTGGGGGGGGGGGGGGGGGTAATTGCTCGCCCCCCGCCCGCTCGTCCCCCCTGCAGGGCTGTGTAGTTTGGGGGGTGGCACTTAGAGGGGAGGGTGGAAATATGGGAGAGGGGAAAAAAAGTGGGGGCCACAGGGAGGCCATGCCACAAATGACACTTACAAGCGAATGTTAATTAACCTTCCACGTTTATCAGTGAAAATTAGTCAAATGTGGAGGCATCCCAAGTGGGACGCTGTGATCAAGATTAAAGCAAGTATGAGGAAAAGCCCAAGCCCGTCATTAGACGATTAATGGGTTGCGGAAGGCAAAGCTAATGGGAAATGCTGGAAAATCCTGCCTACTCACGGGCCTAATCTCAGAGGACTCCGTTTTTCACCGCTATTTTAAGCGAGGCGAAGTGACAACTCCGGGGCAGCTGCCTCTAAAAACAGATTTCTAAATTGCTGTGTCTCTACGTGCAAGTGGTTAAAGGGCAACATAGAAAAAAACCTACACTCATATATATTTGTCGGAAAATTAAGGTGGTCAACGTTTTAGGAAGGAAAATCATAGATTTGTCATTGAAGTTAAATACAGGAAACTCAGTGTTCTGCAAGACAATGCCTTTCATTTACTTCTCACACGAGGTAGATCATATATTTAAATGCATACTTTTACTATGTCTCTGCTTCTTTAACATGCAAAGTAAAACATTTCAATTTGAACCATTGTAGGCCAACTCTATGGACAATTAAAAAGAACACACACCACTTAAAAGTACGGTACATGTATTTTAGTAAATAGAAAAACGTGTGTTTATTTAGTCAACAGTTGTTACGTCTTTATGTGAAGCTTTCGTGACTGCAGGAATCCATACTCTTTGGTGCTTTCACTAAAGTCACGTAGATAGAAATTTATGAATAGATCACGACGTTTCGATCGCAACGCAAGCGACCGTTTTCAGGCGATGTTATGATTACGCTGATAACAGTGACTCGTTAACCTAATTGAAAAACACTTTTAAAAATAAATAAATAAATAGATTCCTCACCTGGAAAACATCATTGGCACACTTTCTGCAGAGATTGTGCTGGCACGGCAGAATGACGACGGGTTTGGAGAAAACCTCCAGGCAGATCGGACACATGAGCTGTCTCTCCAAGTTCTCCAGATTCTCCGTGGGTTTCAGTAGCGACGAGTACTCCATTGTCAACGCAAGAGAGAGAGAGAGAGATCTGCTCCCTTTCTACTCGTGGAGTATTAGCAGCAGAAGTTGTAAGTAGCAGCCGCAGCAGCCGCAGCAGCAGCACAGTTGCACCGGCTTATGCTGATCGCCTCCTTTTTTCTCTAACGTCTTATCTTGGCGGATCGGATTCCCTTATTGTGAGTAGCCGCGAGTTGCTTTCGCCTTCAGCTGGATTCTGAGAGCCGTGCACTTTGCTGGCTCCCTATTTAAAGCCCCCAGGAATCACATGGTCTCTGCGGCACCAGATGCCATTCTCCTTATACGTACCGTCCGGAATTCGCCTGGGGACAACCGTGATGCAGCAACAGCGGCGGTGGCGGGCGGGCGACAAAAAGTCACGAGCCTGCCCCAGTCACGCGACCGGCGTCGTGTAAAAGTATCCCAACCTGAATTTTTTTTAGTTTTTTTGGAGTAAACAACGTCGTTCATTCCAAGCAACGTTGGATCTGGATGTTCCCCCCGTGGGGCGGCGCAAGTTGAAAGAAAAATACACGGGGCCACGCTGGGTCTCGAGCTCAAAACACCAAACGGTGTTTTGACTGTTTTGATTTTCCGCGTGTTGTTGCTCTGGCTGGATGCCTCCACTCCCAGGTATAGATTTGCCAATTCCATGAACTGCTCGTGATCCGTGGGGGCCTTTTGCTGATGGCATGGTATGGGCTCACACGTGTTCCTGGCATCATTGCTGGGGGGAAATTGGAAGAAAAACACTCCCCGGGTGCCAGAGTTCCGCGTGACGTACAAAGTGTCAGCGCTGCGACAATTGTTGATACCACGGTATGTTTACAAGTCCCATAACTATTGTAGCTGCCCGGTAATGGAAGACCGAAGTAGAGTCTAATGACGTTCAAGATGGACTGAGAGGTTGAAATTTGGCACTCATATTTGAGTCTTCTTTGATGACGAGGTGAGTTTGAAAGCTGGCCTCTTTCGTTTATGTGCCCCCATAAAATCACATCCAAGATGTTGATTGATTTCACTCAAGGACTGGGTCAATCTAAAGTTCTAAATTACGTTAGGCCTCATGCTAAAACACTTAAAAATACATGACCCTCATTGTCAGTGAACAAGGAAATTGTGCCCCCCTTGGGGTGCAATACTTCAGTCGATAGAGAGAAGATAAAACCTGCTGCTACCAGTTGCTCATGAAACACGTGATTTTACATTCATATATATCATTCTAGTCGTTGGTTTAAAAAAAAAATTACGAATTAAAGCCGTTGTTACCATTCAAACAATTACATTACAATTCTAAAACTGAAACACAATGACTACAATAATCTGAACACATGCGCACAAAAGTTGTAACTGAATATTTATCCTTTGTTTCACACGCACAAAGGCAAAGACGCCCCATATAGCCTTAGCAGATTGTTGGGGAAAGTGCTGTTAGCGAACACATATGAAGGCCATAACAGGGCAAATGGGGGTGGGTGGCCATCATCACGCCCGACCACCTCTGTCTCCCCAGTGGCGATGTTTACACACCACACCAGGTACTCATTTGAGGCTGAGTCGACCTAGGGAAGGTCCAGGACCGGTTCAGATAATCGTCACTGGTGTTGACGTGAGCGGGAATCGAACCCGGGTCGCCGGGTTCATAGCGCAGCGCGCTAACCGCTACACCACCGCTCCCCATACACACACACCCTCACACTCAGACACTCCGACACTCACTCACACATGCTTTTTGTGGTTTCCTGCTCGAACGAGCATTGAGGCAGTGCGCATCGTCTGTTCACAACTCTTGAACCGGTGGTGGAAACTCCACATTCCCATGGCAGGGGCGAATATCCACATAGCATAACCGCTCTTGACTTCCCCACAAAGTGGTGCTCATTTTACGCAACCCACAACCAGGATTTGAACTCGTAACCTCGCTCTTGCGAGCCGCTTGCTACATACCGCTGAACCACAAACACACTTCGTAAATCTACTATAATAGAGGTTTGTTTGGGTTAGATGGTGCAAATATAAATGTGTCATTAACTCCGCCACCACCTAACACAGTAAGGTTTCTCATGTAAATAGAAGTGCCAATTCGTTACTAGTTCAGCACATCGTGGGGTGTTAGAGAGTAAAACCCACAGCGTTTACAATTCGTGTACCCTGACGTTTCGCCGGTGATTACAACAACCAGCATCATCAGGCGACAGCCAGAGTTGTTGAGAAATCCTCTTGTTTCCGTCTTAACTAGAGGTGGTCAATGTGATGTCGTCACTTGTAAGCCAATTAAGTGCGATCTAAACACCCACCCCCCCCCCAAAAAAAATCTCAATCGTGGATAACATTGCTCGCCAAAGCCTTACGCGTTAAACCGACACTTCGTAAAATAACCAAATGAACACGAATGAAAAGTACCGCGTACACCGAACATCTTTCATTGTTCATTTCACGTACACGCACACATCTCTGGCACAAGGCCCCCCCTTGTAAACACCCACGTGACCCACACCGCCTTGCGTGTGCGGGGCTGCACGTGGCGATGGACCCTTCTCGCAGTGACGCGTCACCACCAACGCGTTGTTTGGCCGCACCCTCTTGATCGTTCGTCAATTATACACTGGTCAACACACTTTTTCTGGCATAAGATATTCCAACGGGTTTAATGTAATTTTGGGGTGCTGATTCCAAATCTGGCATCAGTTTTTGTCTATCACATCAGGTTTTTGAGATATATCAAATATTGCATTTTCAATAAAAACTGCGGAAGAAAAATATTAAATACATGTGGATATCTCCATGAAATGATATTAAAAACACACTATCCTAAAAATACAGCACAATATTTTAACACTAAAGCAGTCACTGACTCGCAACAACTTGCAATCATAAGTGACAGAGTTAATTTTTGGTAAAATCTATGAAAATGGGGTATGCCGATAGCATAAAAATGATAGAGCAAATCTGAGGTCAGATTTGGAATCAGCACCCTGAAATTAGTCTAAAACAGCTACAAAAGTCCAGGCCAGAAAAAAAGTTTTTTTTGTTGACCAGTGTTATATATTCACGTGTACGCCGCTGTTGGGAAGAAAAAAACAACAAGAACCTTCCCCGGTGTTTTTACAAATCGGATTTCACGCCCCACTTTGCGAGCGGAAGTGGCACCTAGTATTTTTTTAAATGTTCACGTAAATTCTCGCTTGCTTCTCCGTTTCCGAGTCTCCGACGCGAATCTACGGCTCGCATTCGTTCGCTCCTCGACGCGGCGGTGTGAACCTTTCGACCGGAACGCCGAAAGATCTCGGCGCACTCAAGCCTTCAGTTTTCAGTTTCATTTGGTATAGCCCTGTGAGCCATTCGGCTCTTGAATCGGGTGCAACCGCAACAAAAAAAACATGAACAAGAAAACATCCTAAAGTGACGACGCGCAAACAGAAAAATCCAGGAAAAAACAGCAAAGTCTTCCAGAAAAAGCACCGTACACCAACACTGTGTGCAAAAATCTCAGTGGGATGCAAGTCAAACAATAACAACCATAAGACAATTTAAAGTTACAATGCGTGGAGTAGACCTCTGAGACACAATGGGGACTGAGGGTGGCAGGAGCGAGGCAACGACTGGACAGGAATAGGGTGGTGATCGCATTAGCCAAGTCCGAATATAGAAGCTCAAGCATGGCAACACCGACGGCCCAACTGGATCTGCCTCCCGTTCCTATTGGCTCCAGATAGCTACTGCTGCAGCCCATAGCGTTAGGGGGTTCGAAGGGGGCTGTGTCACCCCTCCCTGCCGGCCCCCTACCCAAAGATCAGGCCAAACCACCCACCCCCCCTTTATAAATTGTTACAATCTAAACCACAATGAGAATTTTCAATAGAAATAGGGGGGGGGGGGGTGTGCGGGCGCTTGAGCAGAGAAAAAAACAGCAGAATGAGCGATTTACAAAAACGGGTCATATCGTTTACCCATTCCGCGTGGCGTTTAACGTTCGCTTAAAGTTTCTTGAGCGTTGAGTGTGACGTGACCTCCCCCCCCACTCCAGAGTTTGTGTGAGTGCAGCCCCCCCCCCCCCCCCATGACAATGTCTTGGCCACAATGAGGGCTATGTGGCCTCCCAACCATCTGCACCATTGTCCACCGCCCACTACCCCCTCGGCAGTGTTTGGTTATCGACCAGCGAGGGATGAGTCGGGCTGGGCAAGGTGAAGATGAGAGGCACCTCGAAACCAGTGTGTGTGTGTCAGTGTGTGTCAGTGTGTGCGTCAGCACTTGCCCCTACAGTCTGTTAAGGCTATATGGGGGATCTTTGTCTTTGTCAGTGTGTGGGGAGCGGTAGTGTAGCGGTTAGCGCGCTGCGCTGTGAATCTGGCGACCCGGGTTCGATTCCCGCTCACGGCTAACACCAGTGACGATTATCTGAACCGCTCCTGGGCCACCCCTAGGTCGACTCAGCCTTAAATGAGTACCTGGTGCGGTGTGTAAACATCGCCACTGGGGAAACAAAGGCGGTCGGGCGTGGTGCTGGCCACCCAACCCCGTCGTGTACCGTTCCGGCCTTCATAGGTGCCCGTTAACAGCACTTGCCCCTACAGTCTGTTAAGGCTATACGGGGGATCTTTATATTTGTGTGTGTGTGTCAGTGTCAAGGCCGTAGCCATGGAGTCAACATTGGGGGGGACCAAATCTTCTAGGGTGTCTGAGGGTCCCAACCCAGAAAAATATCTAAATTTGAAAACTTATTCCTGCCTAAAATATCTAAAAATTCACTAACACGTGGGATAGACTTTTTATGCATTTTTTACAATAATGTCTAATAGTGTATTGCATTACATTGCTCTGTTTTTACTTTTGTACCATATCTTGTTTAGTTGTATGTAATGTTTGAGATTAGGGATTAATAAAGTACAACCATAACCACAATCATATGAACATAAATCTATGCATTGATTTATATGAAGACAAGTCCAGTTATTGTGGCCAAGGTTTAGCAAATAATTGTTTTTATTTACATAGCATAGCAATTATTATTACTTTTTATATTTTTTATAGCAATATATTGGGGGGGACATTTTGAGCATATTTGAATATTGGGGGGGGGGATGTACCCCTCCTCCCCTAGGTCAACTCAGCCTCAAATTAGTTGTTGGTGCAGTGTGTAGTTAACATCGCCACTGGGGAGACAAAGGCGGCCGGGTGTGGTGCTGGCCACCCACCCCCTCGTGTGCCGTGTCGGCTTTCGTAGGTGC